TCGGATCCCACATACAGACCGGGTCCTGCTCACTGGCTGAGCGAGGTGCGGGCGCAACACCGAGGGTTGCAATCCCGTTGCCGGTCCCGGTCCGGTACGGGCGCGACACTGAGGGTTGCGATCCGTTGCCGGACACGAAAAAAGACAAAAAGAAAAAAAAAAAAATTAAATTATTTTGATGTAAAGCTTATTCCTTATGATGTCGTTTCTATTACAGGTCATCTTCCCACTATACAGTATTATTTATCCTGTAACTTTTTTGTGTTTTCTTCAAACACAATGTACTAAATTTCCTTAACTTTTCTTAATTGTCTCATGGCTTTGTAATCATCACATGGCTGATTTTTTCTTATTTTTATAAGGACTGTTAGTATATATAGGAAATATAAAGTTTGTTTTCTAAAAATTAAGATACTTTCAATGAAACATAGGCAATTAATATGAACTTGTTTTGGGTGTCTAAAAGTTTTTAAACTTAATGAGATGTTGGTTGTTTGTACTTCTTGTGGTTAAAGTAACCCTATCTCTAAGCCCACTACTTTTGATGATCTTTATAGTAACCCAGCTGACCCTGCTCTTTGGTCTTTGTTATCCCGAGTTGTTGCTCAGTATGCTCAACAAAATGCGAAGGTGAGTCATGTTCTAAATTCTGGAAAAATGATAAAATAACTTGTGATGTGGTAAATATTACAATTTTAAAGCATAGCATTATTTTTCTGGAAGATAATACAGTGAAGGGAGTTCTGTTATTTAACCAAATTTCCCATTAGTCATTGAACAAATACTAGACTGAATTTGTTCGATTTACTACTGTACTCCTCTGGGTGTTGCAGGTGCTACAAAGTAGGAGGACCTTTTTGAACACATACAGATTATATTAATGGCTACGTGATAAAGTAATGTTTGTAACATTGCCATATAATAAGCATTAGCTATTGGTTTTTTGAATACCAAAAGGTCATTTTACTTAAAAGCTTCTTAGAGATAAGGACAATAAGAACTTAGAGCACTGCTAAAAATGTAGATATAAACATGAATTCATTGATGCCTATAAAGGATATATACTGTATTTTAGTTCATAACAGCCAGATATTTTCAGCTGTCTATATTCTATTAACTTCCAAGGTTAATAAGTTTTTTCATAGTTCACTTAACTAGTTGGTAAACATCATGGTAATAGCTTTGAACACTTATTCACATTTTGAACACTTATTCATGTCTAATAATTCTAGTATCTGAAGTCTTTGTTGGTTGGTTTCTGTTGTTTGTTATTCTTACCGGTTCTCATTCATGGTGGCCTTGTTTCTTTGTTTATCTGATTGTGTGTACTTGAAAGTTATTTGTAGGAATAATTTGAAGCCTAGGACTAAGGTACCTTTTTTTTTCTTTTTTTTTTTTTTTTTTTTGTCTTTTGTCTTTTTCCATGTCCGGCAACGGATCGCAACCCTCAGTGTTGCCCCCGTACCGGACCGGGGACCGGCAATGGGATTGCAACCCTCGGTGTTGCTCCCGCGCCTCGCTCAGCCAGTGAACGGGAACCGGTCTGTATGCGGGATCCGAACCCTCGGGCGGGAGCGCCGCCGTGCTTCCCAAGCGGCGCACTTATCCAGTGCGCCACCGGGCCGGCCCGGTACCTTTCTATAGAAAGGATTTGTGCTTGCTTTTGCCAGGTGCTTGGGAACTCCGCCACTGTAGGGCCACCTCAAACAAGTTTTAGACCTCAGGGTTTCTGGACCAGTTAGGCTTAGTGCCTGGGTTGCAAGGTCATTTGAAACCTGGCTTAATTCTGATTCACTTTGAACTTGAGGGTATAGCCCCTTGGGGTCTCAGCTTATTCTGATGTGGGTTTCCTAAGCACTCCCTTCCCTGTGTGAACCCTGGACTTTAATTTCTGTCCCATTAGTTCATGAGTTTTTCAAGAGAAAAATTAAAATGTGTTAGGATCTCAAATGGCAAAATTGGCTTCCCTGTTCACTTGCCTGTCTGGATTCCAGTTTTCTCTTTCAGTTTAGGCCTAGGAAGTCCTTAATATCTTGTCAGTTCTTTGATGTTTTTAAGAATATGTTTTTAAAATATTTTGTCCCAGTGCATCTCAAATTTTAATGTGTAGTTGAAATCACCTGGAGATCTCATTAAAGTGCAGATTCTAGTTCAGTAGGTCAGGGGTGGGGCCCAATAGTCTGCATTTCTAACAGCCTCCCAGGAAATGTTGATGCTGGTGATGCACAGGCCACAGTTTGAGTAGCAAGGTTTTATTTCACATGTTTAGTTATTTTCAGTGGATGGGTTGTTTCAAAGAACCTACAAGACCATCATTATTAGGCGCTGAATGAAATGCGTATTATATGTCAGCTACTGTGCTAAGCATTATTATATATTTTGTCATTTAATCCCAATAATCATATGAAGTAGCTGCAATTATTGTCAATTTTATAGAGGAGGGAACTTGAGACATAGAGGTTAAGTACCTTGTGCAAAATCACAGTTACTAATTGTGGGGATGGGATTCCATTCCAGATCTAACTCCTGAATCCTCCTCCTACTCTGTTGTGTTGCCTGCCTTCTTTTTAATCCATCTTTTATTTGTTTTATATTGATGTATTTTTTTAAAGTTTATTTATGTTTTTTAGCATTTTTTATGTGGTAAATACAGTTTTGAAAACATTTCTGATACACTTTTGATATGAAATGAAGGATACAGTGTATTTCTGATATAAAATGAAATCATTCACTTTCTTTTCCATTTAAAATGTCTAATAATTGAATTTTTAAAAATTGTAGATTTCAACTTGACCTTATGAAATCTCTGATGCTGCATGTATTTTTCTTACATTTAGTATTGAGTTGATTATTGAAGCAATGATGAGCTTCATGGTGCTCTGAACTTTAGCTATTCACTTACTAAGGACTTTGGAAGTTTTAAAAATATTGTATATTTTCATGGAGTAAAACCGTATGTTTATATTTGTGATCTCTTTCTCTCTCTCTCTGTTTTTCAATCTTTTTTCTTACACAATCTCTTTTATATTATTAGAAAATGTGTATATTTGTTTGATACCACTGTACAATCATGTAACTTTTGAACCTTTAATGAGTATTTTAAAAGCAGAGTTGAATGATCACAGTAGAGAAATTTTCTTTCACAAAAATATTAAACTGGTCTTTTAAAACAGTTATAATAGGTTGATACTTAAGGAGTTTGAAGTTGTGAATGTGATAAAACCTTTTGAATGATTTAATGGAGAAATTTTATCAGTCTTAATTTTTGCTGTTTCATGAAAGTTTTTGCGTTTGTCTAAATAATCAGTATTATGTATTATAGGGAGGTGCTGTTGCAGGAAATGTGGCTCATATTCTGGACTCAAATCATGGAAAGGTTAGTTTGCCTGAGTATAAAGGAAATGTTTAACTTGTTAAATAATGTTGATGAAAGAATAAAATAATTTTTCTTTGTAGCTTCAAAAACAGTCCTACTTTTTGTCAGTTTGAAAGGAAGCTATAAAAGAGAATTGGTTAACACATTTTTGTCTTATGCAGAAGGCGTTACTATACACTGCAATAAATCAGCTGGCTATGGGAAGCAGTTCAGCAGAAGATGGAAAAAATATTGCACAAAAGACTATTCAGAAGGCAGCTCTCCTTTCTCCAGGTGAATATAATATAATCCATTTCATTAATTCAGGTCCTGTCAATCTTGCATTTATGACTTATAGGAGCAAAGTTTGTACTTCTATGAAATAAGACAAAAATGAATTTTAAGAAAATGTTTTAAGATTTTGCATATTATATATTATGATTATCTACACTTGGTTATTGATAATTAAGAGAGAATCAATTACTGAAACAGATCAAAAGGAATGTGTGCTTAAAAATACTTTATTACCTATTATTGAAAATCTGAATAATATCTTTTCAAGAAGTAGTTTTATTTCCATTTTCCATCAGTCTGGTTTAACAGGTTTATCTATAGCTACTAAATTATTTAACAAACATTTATTTTTATGTGTAGTTAGCTCCTTGAAGGCTGGGGATGTGTCTTGTGTGCTAACTGTTAAAAATGCCAAGGTCAGGGTCTCATCTGAGCTAGCTGTTATTAGTTCTATCTGGCTGTATAGTATGTATGCTGTTGATCACAAAGGTACTGAGGAATTGCGTATGATTGCTTCAGCATGCTTTTATTACCGCTACTGGAAAAATGCCTTAGAGGACTGGGATTTCTAGCATTGTAGGGTTATAAGGTGTATTTTTACATGATACTATTTTAAATATGAAATAAAGCATTAACCAATTTATTGCCCCAGAACAGAACACCTCAGACATTTGTTAGATCAGAATGCTGTCATTTTTTGCTAGGCACTGTTGGGAAAACAAATTGTACAAAGAATAGGTTCAGTGGTGTCCTGACAGTAAATTATAAAGCTTATATCTAAACTGCAAAATATCTAATGTTTCAGGAATTATTTTATAAAACAAGTAAACAGACATACATAGAATAAAAAAGAGACCCTAAACATTTGGATTTGTCTTTATTATATACTGGTAAGTTTCTGATTTTTGGAGGTGTTCTCAAGCATTTAGATAGACTTTCAGGAATTCTTATTGTGGATCCAGAATGATAGAAGATCTATTAGCCTTTGATTATATAAATGGCATAAACTTTAGAAAGATGACACTGCCCAGATAAGGTGCTCTCTAATGATGTCCTCTGATTTTCCCAAATTATCTGGAGAAATACATACTCAAGGAAGCAGAGTCATCATATAAGATGTTTAAAACAGTGACCGAGTGGTGAAGATGAGTGCCTATTTAAGATTTGTCCTTGGAGTCCAATGAAAGTGAATATAATTGAAGTTATGTGTAGTGACTGTACACCTAGTCCTTGAAGGTCTTTTGTTGAATAAAATACAGTTTTGATAGATGTTATTTCAAAGAGTCTTTTCAGGGATTTAAATATAATTCCAAGAATTTAGAATTGAATGCAAGAAAATCCAGTTTCAGCTAGATTAGTGCTTCTGTGATACTAAGGCAAACTATATTTAAAAATTTTTAGATTTATAGTTTATATATTATCCCAGAGTCACTTTATTTCTCAGAGAATGTGGTTGCTGATTATCTATGGAAGAGTTAATTGAAAGGAGTTAATGGAAACAGCAATTCTTTTGTATTGAGGCAGAAGAAATTGCCAGCTAATGTCCATCTCCTCCGTGCTGGAAATCTAAACTATGGAATATTGTAAGATCCCTAAAGGGGTTGTTCTCTTCTTAGGAGTAAGTCAGTATTCAGTTAGTCAGTATTCCTTAGTTAGAACATAAGATTTTAGACTTGATAGCACATCAGTCATCATTTAGTTCAGTTGCCCTTTTTTTACAGAAAAATGAATCCCATGAAAAAACTGCTACACAGTTAATCCGTGGCACTGCTAGACCTAAAATCCAGATCTAAGGCTTCATAATGTGCCTTTCATTATATAGTAATCAGATCTTCCCAAATTCTAGGGAACAGTCCCCATTTCTTTATTCTGGAATTTGAGTATGTCTTATGTTACTTAAAATGAGGTAGTATTTATCTGGGGCAGAAATTATTTCATAATATGGAGGTATGTATTTAATTTTTTTGTAAAAGTTTTTGATCTGCATAAGATTTTTAATGATTCTTATACTATTAGCAGTAATATTGGTCATCTGTAAATGAAATAGATGTATATTTCAGACATTTCATAGGAGACGTATATTTGGATACGGCAGTTAGATTAGAAAAAATATAAAACTAAAGCTAAAAAGTATAGGTAAGTGACTGTATTGTTAACTGGCACCCCCTCGTGGGATTTTAAAATCATCCATTTTTAAGGGTAGCAGAACCAAAATATTAACTGTTGAAATGAACTGCAAAATAAGATTTGTAAAAATAAAAGACCAAACAGATTTTTAAAATCTTCTAAGTTCCAAATCCCCTTCAATTTCTTCTTTTCATAACTAACTTTCTTAAAAAGAAGAATCTATATACATAATCTCTTTCTAGTATTACCTCTTCAACCCACTACTGTCAGGCATCTCCCCTCCCTGAAGCTGCTGTGAAGGAAGGAAGGAAGGAAGGAAGGGAGGGAGGGAGGGAGGGAAGGAGGAAAGGAGGGAGGGAGGGAAGGAAGGAAGGAAGGAAGGAAGGATCAAATTAGCAAAGGGATATATATAATCATATACATGCTTCACTTGGAATGATAAAGTGAGTCCTATGCTTGCCTGTTAGAATGTAGATAAAATCTTCAGCCTTTCCTTTGGCTTAAACTTCTCTTAAGAACTAAAAAATTATGTTTTCTTGCTTATCCTGTGACTGAGTTTAAATGAGGGACAAGTGATGAAGATGAGTGTCTGTTTGAGACTTGTCCTTAGTCTTCAGTCAAAGTGAATATAATTGCTCTTTCCACAGTGGTACAGAACCCTAGGCAACTGATCTAACCAGCCATGGAAGAAGAGCTTCATAGGCTATTTCTCATGCTCTGATGTGTTTGGAAAAAATGGTAAATCTTGAAGGATGAACATAGTAGTGTGTCTTCTGAAAACAAGTATATTTAGTTTTTCTTTAAGAAAGTGGAATCCTTCTGAAGATACTATTGATTTTTTTGGTACTTGTAAACTCTTACTCTCATTTTTGGTAGTTTTTCAGCAATATGTTGGTACTAACAGAACTTCTAACTGTATTTCTTGTGTTTAGGTGACCCTGCTGTCTGGGCTGGGCTAATGGCAGCCTGTCATGCTGATGATAAACTGGCTCTAGTGAACAACTCTCAGCCTAAGAGAATGGATTTATACTTAGCACTGTTATCTGCTGTTTCTGCTTCAAGTACGTTTATTGTTTTGTTTTGTTTGGCATCTGGCCAGTATGGGGAACTTGACCTTGGTGTTATAACACTGTGGTCAAACTAACTGAACTAACTGGCCAGCCCTGCCTCAAGTAAGTTTAAAAAAGCATTTTTATACATGATTTAATTCAGGCTTCTTAAATGGTTAAATCAGGAACACAAAGAACTTCAATGTATATTGTTATAAAAGTATGTTCATTAAAGAATCTATAGTTATAATAGCAACACAGAATTGTGATGGGCATGCATATATTTTCTTTTCCATATAGCTAAGAAGTCCAATATGTTCCATTAACTGAAATCTTGGTTTTGCAGCATTTACCTGCTTTGAGACTTGAGCGATGTTTTAGGACTCCTTCCAGGTCACTTCTATCCTAAAACTTCGTGATTCTTCCTGGGAATTTTGACCAGAATAGTTGTTAATTTGATCAGATACAGTTAACAGTGTCTTATAAATCTATAAATCTTACATTGAAAAGTGAAAAGATTAAAATATTAAACTAAAGTGAACTTATTTTAAGTGGTAAATCAGAAATATCTAAAACATATTTATTTTTAAGCCATCCTCTTCAGATTTGAAATAAAAACAATCTATTTTTGTTTTTGATCCACTCTGACAATCTCAGTCTTTTAATTTGTGCATTTAGACATAGATGTTCACACCAAGGTATAGGGTTTGATCTCTGTACCCGCCAGCTGTTTCACCCCCACCACCCACCCCACCAAAAAAGGAGAAAGCCACATAGATATAGACGTTCAAAGCGATTATTAGTATAGCTGAATTAATACCTACCATCTTTTTTATACTTTTTTCTACTTGTTGCCCTTGTTCTTTGTTCCTATTTTTGTCTTCCATTCTTTTTTTCTGCCTTTTGTGGATTATTGTACATTTTATATGATTCCATTTTTTCTCCTTTGTTAGCCTATCAGTTATACTTCTTTTTTTCCTTTTTTTAGTGGTTGCCCTAGAGTTTGCAGTATACATTTGCAACTTATACCAGTCCACTTTCAAATAACACTATACCACTTCATGGGTAGTGTAAGTACCTTATGAAAAAATAATCCTAATTCCTCTTGTATATCATCGCTATCATTCATTTTGCTTATATGTAGCCCTATATATACACAGACACACATAATTGAATATATTGTTGCTATTGTTATTTTGAACAATCTATTATCTGTTAGATTGATTAAGAATAAGAAAAATTAAAAGTTCTTATTTTACCTTCACTTATTTCTTCTTTGATGCTCTTCCTTTCTTTATGTAGATCTGAGTTTCTGACGTTTATCATTTTTCTTCTCTCTAAAGAATTTCTTTTAACATTTCTTGTGAGATAGGTCTACTGGCAACAGATTCCATCAATTTTGGTTTGTCTGAGAAAGTCTTTATTTCTTTTTCACTTTTGAAGGACAGTTTTGCAGGACACAGAATTCTAGGTTGGTGTTTTTTTCTCACAACACCTTAAATATTTCACTCCATTCTCTTCTTACTCATAACATTTCCGAAGAGAAGTTGGGTGTTATTCTTATGTTTGTTTCTCTGTAAGTAAGGTGTTTTTCTTCTGGCTTCCATCAGTTTTTCTTTATCTTTGATTTTCTGTAGTTTGAGAATCATATGCATAGGTGTAGTTTTTTTAACATTTATTCTGCTCAGTATTCTCAGAGCTTTCAGGATCTGTGATTTGGTGTATCTGACATTAATTTAAGGAAATTCTCCGTCATCATTTTTCAAATATTTCATCTGCTCCTTTCTCTTTATCTTCTCGAATTCTCATTATGTGTATTTACACCTTTTGTAGTTGTCCCACAGTTCTTAGATATTCCGTTGTTACCCTTAGTCTTTTTTTCTCTTTGCTTTTTGATTTTGTTTGTTTCTCTTGAGATAGCCTCAAACTCAGATATTCTTTCCTCAGCTGTGTTCAGTCTACCCATAATGCCCATCAAAAGCATTCTTCATTTCTGTTAAGAGTGCTTTGCTCTCTAGCATTTCCTTTAGGTTCTTTCTTAGAATTTCGATTTCATCATTACCATTTGTTCTTGCATGCTGTCTATTCTATCCATCATTAGAGCCTTTAGCATCTTAATCACAGTTATTTACATACTGGTATGATAGTGTTCTGCCATGCCACAGCATTTACCCATATACATCATATTATGAGCCATAAAACAGGTCTCAATAAATTTAAAAGAATTTGAATTATACAAAGTGTGTAATTTGAATACAATGGAATTAAATTAGAAATCAATAACAGAAAAATATCAGGAAAATTCTCAAATACTTGAAAACTAAATAACATACTTCTGAAAAACACAGGTCAAAGAACAAATCAAAGAGAAATTAGAAAATATTTTGAAATGAATGAAAATGAAAACATAACCTATCAAAGTTATGCAGTACTACTAAAGCACTGCTTAGAGGGAAATTTATAGTATTAAATGTCTACATTAGAAAAGGAGAAAGGCCTCCCTCAAAATAATGGCCTCAGTTTTTACCTTAAGAAACTAGAAAAAGGAAGAGGAAAATAGACACAAAATAAGCAGAAAAAAGGAAATAATAAAGGTAAGAGTAGAAATCTATGAAATAGAAAACAGAAAATCAACAGACAAAATCAATAAAACCCAAAACTGATTCTTTTAAGAAGATCAATAAAAGTGACAAACCTCTAACTAGATGAATCAGGAAAAAGAAGACAGAGTACTAATGTTAGGAATGAAAGAGAATATGCCACTACAGCTATTAAAAGGTTAATAAGAATCTTACGAACTTTATACCATAAAATTTGGCAACTTAGATGAAATGAACAAGTTCCCAAAAAGACACAAAGTTCACTCAAGGAGAAGTAAATTGAATAGCTGTATATCTATTAAAGACATTGAATTTATAGCTAAAAATCTTCTAATAAAACACCAGGACCAGATGGCTTAACTGAAGAATTCTACCAAACTTTTAAGGAAGAAATAATACCAGTTCTACACAAATTCTTCCAGAAAATTGAAGAGATAGTAGCACTTCTTAACATCTTTTATGACGCTAGCATTACCCTAACACCTAAGCCACAAGAAAAGAAAAATTACAGAACATTACCTGTGAACAGAGATGGAGATATTCATAACAAACCCTTAGGAATTCAAATCCAACAATACATAAAAAAGATTATGTATTAACATTATATCATGAGCAAGTAGGATTTATTCTAGCAATGCAAGGTTGCTTTAACATTTGAAAATGAATATAATTCTCCATGTTGATACTTGCAAAAGATGCCAAAGAGTTTATACATGTATGATTCCATTCATATGAATTTTAGAAAATGTAAACTGGTCTATGTGACAGAAAACAGATTAGGAGTTGCCTGAGGACAGAGAGTAAGAGGGGATGGGGTTGGGTGGAGGTAGAAGTGATTACAAAGGGGGAACAGGAAGAAACTTTTGATAATAATGAATATGTTCCTTGTCTTGATTGTAGTGATGGTTCACTGATGTATACTTATGTCAAAACTCATTAGACTGTATGGTTTGAATATGTGTAGTTTATATTATGTCAATTATTGCAGTAAATCTTTAAATTTTTTCAGTGAATTATTTTCAGTGTTATTGTAGATATAGTGATTTTTGATGTAAGTCACAAGTGTTATGAGACCTTACATTATTGAGCTACAAATACTCCTACCGTGAAACTTTTCAGAACCTGTCTCATGTCAGGATAGTCTATGGTATGCCAGTGGTACATGAAAATTTTAAAAATTATATATGCATGATACTGATAATACTTTTCACCAACTAGTTACTCCTCTGAGAATGCATTATAAATTGCAGAAGAAAGTAACATTGGCATTTTTTGTTTATAGTTAAAGACAAAGAATTCCCTGAAAATTATAACCAATCTCTTGAAAAGTGGTCTCTCTCACAAGCCGTCACTGGTCTGATAGACACAGGAAGAATATCTGAAGCTGAAGCTGTTTGCACAAAGGTATAATTATGGAATTGTGCATTGAAATTTATGGATTCTTATCCTACTTGGAACATAACTTCAGAAATGGAGTGTATGTTATTTAAAGAACATGTGGTGGTGGTGGCCGTGGTGGTATAGATGGTGATGACTGTGATTATCATGGTAACAACCAACATTTATTGACTATTTAGTACAAGCTGGTCACTGCATTTAGCATTTTGTATTTGAACTTCACAACCATTCTAGGTGCAGGTATATATTGTTGTCCCCATTTTTACAAATGAGGAAACTAAGGCTTAAAGAAGGTAAGTTATTTACACAGGAGCTCACAGCTAGAAATGGATAGAGTTGCAATTTGAACTCATATTTGTCTGACTCTAGGTCTCAAGCTCTTAATAGATCTTTTTTTAATTTTTGGTTTTTTTATATCATTAGGGAGGTAATATATTCCTTTCATTTCTGGTTACTCCCTTCAGAATGTTATGTTTCCAGTATCCATTCATTTTTCCAAAGCTCTGAACCACATAGAATGACAGTGGAGATTGTTGAATGGTTGACTGGAACTGCTCAGTTGTCAGTTTTTACATGCCAGGATTGTAGGGCTCTGTGCTTGTAGGCTCTGTTAGCAAATTCTTAGCACCTTGCTAATAAGCACATAGTAGGGGCTCAAGAAATACTTATTGAATGAATGAATCAGTCTCATAAATCTACTGAGAAATCACTTAATGGATAAAGAGAGTTTTAAACATGACTTTTCCTGAAAACATCATTTTTCATAAGTGTTTACTGGGGACATTGTGTTGTCTTCCTAAAAATATTTTTTGAAATATCAGTATAAATTTTACAGGGAAAGAAGAATAGACTTTTGAAGATCCCTTCAGTCTTTTAATTCTCTGAAAAGCAGAGTAATACATTTTCTCTGTTATTTAAAAGTTACCGTCTGAGAAAAGTTTAGGACAGGCTGTTATACAGTGGGTGATTCTTAAGCGTAAATTAACAGTTGCTGTGCACTCTCTGATAGAATAAGGGATACTACTTTATGAACCTTTCCTTGTGATTTTATTGTTCCAATCTTTTACTTAGAATAAAGCAATCAAATATGTTTTAGAAATACATTTAAGACTATGATCTAATGAGTAAAAAATAAAGAGGTATGCTATTGAGGGACAAGCAATAGAGAAAAATATTTAAAATGATAATGGAAGGACTTGTTTAGAGAAATTCTTTAACTTCGTATGTACATACATATAAGAGGAGATACATATTCATATATACAATACATTTATTTATGTACGTTTTAGGGTATAAATAATAGCTTAGGGAAATAGGAAAATGGGTCATTTCTCTTACTCCCAGTGTCTGAGAAGTCTTTACCTAGAAGAAAGACATGTAGTGAATATCTTTGTTAAGAGGTTGAGAAAGAAAAAAATCTATACCTCTTTCCTTCTTATGTAGTGTAGTTTGTTCCAGTAAGGAATAGTGGAACCCTTAATTTTGTATTTTCTTAGTTCAGCTATTTACATTCAGAAACTAAATTTTTCAGGCTATCGCCTAAGGATAAATTAAGTCAAAAGACATAGGGAATCTAAAATAAGTGACTTATAAACTATAATAATAGCATTGCTGATATTAAAGATTATTTAAATGTAGAGTCTGATATTCCCAGGCTGTCCAGTGTTTATTTAGCTTTTCCGACTGTTTAGTCTTTAGAAAAAGTTTAAATTCAGAATTATTTTTTTCCCCAACATGGAGAATAGCTTAATTGCCTTCACATTTACTATTTAAGAGCCTATTTGATGTATTCCTATTTGGGGTTTGATTTTTAGAATTTAAAAAGTAACCCTGATCAGCCAGCTGTTATTTTACTTTTGAGACAAGTTCAATGTAAACCACTCCTGGAGTCACAAAAGCCACTCCCAGATGCTGTACTTGAAGAGCTGCAAAAAACAGTCATGTCCAACTCAACCTCGGTTCCGGCTTGGCAGGTAAATTCTCTCTTTTCTTACATGAGTCCTGAATTAAAATACTCAATGATATTATTTGAGATCAGGGATATGTTCCATCTTTATTTGTCTGTCTTTCTTGTAAACTCAACTTATATCTCTCAATTTCAACATGTAAAGGGTATTGTGGTTAGGGGAACTAAGGATGTTGAATACTAATTTTAGATCTGCTGCTATAATGCTTCAAAGCTTTCTTAATTGTTGATTATAAATTTCCTCAATTTAAAACAATGGTGAAAATACTATCTTTTACATAGGGTTGATGTAAGAGGGCTAAAGAATTGTTGCAGACATTTTATAAAAAGGTTACCATAATGGTGTTTAACTCTGCCTTTAGAAGGGATGTGTGTAGTTTTTCTCTAGCTGCTTTATAAGTAAGCCATATCCAAGATTTTAATGGGTATGTAGTGCTTTTAGAAATAGGTATTTTCAGGATTGAGGCCCGAATCAACAGATGGTGTGCTTTTAGTCGGCTGTGATTATCCACAGTAACAAACACACAATGATCACTATGTGCTTTATTCTTATTGATATTAAAACACAAGGAAGCACATAATTATCTTATTCAATTTGTTATATTTCCTTCTGTACCACAGAGAAAGTTTTAAAGGAGCATTTTGATATAGATTTTATAGAAACTTATTTTAGTACAGGTTGTTCTTCATTCTGATCTTTCATTATATCAATTTTTTGATATCCCTGCTTTAGATATGAATAAAATTATCTAATGACATGAATTTCTAGATTATGCAAGCTAAGCCTCCTTTTTACTCTTATCCTTGAAGAAAGATGGTGCTTTCTTTCCTCTCTTAGAGTAAGTTTGTCATACGTGATTTAGATACCTAATTCTAAAGTCAACTGGATATTGATGATCTCATATTCTTTTTTTTTCCCCCAATTTTATTTATATTACTTTTGTGGGGTACAACGTTGTTGTTTCAGTACATGCATATGCTGCACAATGAATCCCTTAGGGTAGATAGCCTAGTTTTATATCTGTTATTCCAACACTTCTCCTCCTCCCAATCTCCCTCCCCTCCTAGCCTCTGGTAACTATTATTTTATTCTGTACTTCTATGAGAGCCACTTTTTTGTTGTTTTTTTGTTATTTTTTTTTTAGATTCCACATATGAGTGAGACCATGTGATATTTGTCTTTCTGTGCCTGACTTCACTTAACATGATGGTTCCCAGTTCCTTCCATGTTGCTGCAAATGATACCATTTTTTTATTATAGCTGAGTAGTATTCCATTATAGTAGTATATACCACAGTTTTTTTTTTTTAGCCATTCATCTGTTGATGAGCAATTAGGTTGATTCCATCTGTTGGCTATTGTGAATAGCGTTGTGATGAAAATGAGAATGCAGGTGTATTTTTGATGTATTGATTTAATTTCTTCTGGGTATATACCCAGTAGTAGGATAGCTGGATCATAAGCTGAGAAACTATTTTCGGCAACTGTAAATGTACCAATTTACATTCCCACCAACAATGTAGAAGGGTTCCTTTTTCTCTGCCTCCTCGCCAGCATTTGTTATTTTCTCTTATTGGTAATAGCGGTTCTAACTGGGCTGAGATAATATCTCATTGTGGTTTTAATTTGCCTTTCCCTGATGATTAGTGATGTTGAGCATTTTTTCATGTGCTTGTTGGTCATTTGTATGTCTTCTTTTGAGAAATGTCTATTCAGGTCCTTTGCCCATTTTTTAATAGGATTATTTGCTTTTTTGCTGTTGCATTGTAATCTTGTATTCTTTAAAAAGGGGAGAAAAACTTTGTCAAACTAAAAGGGAAAAATTGAAGGATAGATGATATAGTAAGTGAAATTTCAAGAGATGGTATATGTGTTGTGTGTATTTTCTTTTACATTATGGTATAATTCACAAGGAATAAAGTGCAAAAATCTTAAAAGTACCACTCATGAAATTTTTACATGTGCATATACCAGTTTAACCACTACCCACATCAAAATACAGAACATTTCCAGCAACTTAACTGCTTTCCTCATGCCTCCTCCGCATGCCTCCTCCCCATGCCTCCCCCTCATGCCTCCCCCTACCCATCCCCCCCCAAAAGAGAAACTACTATTCTATCATTTCTATCTAATTTTGTCTATTTTTGAACTTCATGTAAATGTAGTTCATGTAAATGTAGCTTTTGCATCTGGCTGCTTTCACTCAACATCATATCTGTGAGATTTATTTAGTTGTTTCATATGGCTATAATATTTTTATTTCATTTTATGAATATATTATAATATATATTTCTTTTACTGTTGATGGACATTTGGGTTGTTCCCAGATTTTGGCCATTAGGAATATGCTGCTGTGCTTGGACATGTCTTTTGGTGGGCAATAGGGTTTATGTATATTTACTTTAGTAGATCCTGCCAGTTTTCCAAAATGGTTGTACCAATTTACATTCACAGTAGTAGTATATGAGCATTCCAGTTGCTGATATTGCTAAAATTCCGCCCCCCTCCACCCATTTTGGTGTATATATAAGTAATAGTATCTTGTGGTGGATTTAACTTGCATTTACTTGATGATTAATGATGTGGAGCAACTTTTCGTATGCTTATTGAGCCTTTGGATATCCTCTTTTTGAAGTGCCTTTGCATAATTTTTAATGGGCTGTTTGTTTTTCTTATTGAAGTGTTGGAATTGATTATATTTTCTGGATACAAGCACATTTTTGGATATTTGTATTGCAGATATTTTCTCATGTCTGTGGCTTGTTTTAACAGTCTCTTAATGTTTTTTGATAAATAGTTCTTAATTTTAATGGAGTGTAATTTATATTTTTAAATGGTTAATGCTTTATTCGGGGTGTTCTATTTAAGAACTCCTTGCTTACTTTAAGTTCATAAAGTTTTTTTGTTTTATTTTAGAAATTTTATTGTTTTACCTTTCACATTTAGGTCTATGGATTATCCTGGATTAATTTTTGTGAATGCTGCAAGGGTGAAGGTTGATTTTTTTTTTTTGTATGAATATCTAATTGACCTAGTAACATTCTTTAAAAACACCACTCAGTCCTAACTGAATTACAGTGATGCCTTTGTCATAAATCAGCTGACTATGTATGTGTGGGTCTTTTAGGGCTTCCTGTTCTTTTCCATTGATCTATTTGTTCTTACTTGTAGCTTTATAATTAATGTTGATGTATGGTAACATTAAGGCCTCCAGCTTTTTTATTCTCCTTTGAGTTTATCATAGCCATTTTAGGGCTATTGCATTTCCATATAATTTCCACACATACGCACAAAACCCCGCTGGGGTCTCGGTTAAGTTTGTGTGGAGTCTGTAGTTTAATTTGGGGAGCATTGACAGAGTAATACTCTACTGAGTTTTTCTATCCATGAATGCAGTATGTGAGAGTACTTCAAAAAATTTGTGGAAAAATAGAATTAAGACAATACACATCTTGTCTACAGCCATCCCACCCTGTACATGCCCGATCTCGTCTGATCTTGGAAGCTAAGCAGGGTCGGGCCTGGTTAGTACTTGGATGGGAAGATAACACAGATATTTCCATGAACTTTTTGAAGTACCCTTGCATTCCTCAATTAAGTGAAATTTCAGCAGTGTTTGCAATTTTCAAGCTAGAGGTCTTTTACACTTTTGTGTTAAATTTATTTCTACGTGTTTGGGTATTTTGTTGCTGTTATTGTTTAAATATGCTTGTGCTATACTTACCTCAGGTGGAAAGCATTCACTATTTCATTATTAAGTATGGTGTTTGCTGTAGGTTTTTATAGATATCTTTATCAGATTAGAGAAATTCTCTTCTATTCCAAATTTGTTGAGAGAGGTTTGTTTTTTATAATGAATAGGTCTTAAATTTTATCAGATGCATTTCTGGGCATCCATAGAGTAGTCCTTCTTTATTCTGTTAATGTAGTGAACTACATTGATTTTCACATGTTAAGCCAACCTTGCTTTCTTAGAATAACTTTATTCTTTTTATATATTGATGGAGTTGATTTGCTAATATCTTATTTAGAATTTTTGCATCTATATTTGTGAGAGAAATTGACCTGTAATTTTTCATTCCCATAAAGTCTTTGTTAGGTTTTGGTGTCTATGTTGTTATTCCTTTTTTGTTTATTTTCTCAAAGTATTTGTATATGAGTGTCATTATTTCTTAGCTGTTTGGAAGAATTCACTATTGAAGCCATTTAGGCCAGGAATTTTCTTTATGGGAATGTTTTTAATTACAGACTAAATTTCTTTAATAGATGTAGGCCTATTAAGATTTCCTATTTCTTTAGCATTGGTTGAGTTGCAAAGAATTTGTCCATTGCATCTCAATTTCAAATTTTTTGGCATGAAATTGCTCATGATATCCTCTTTTTAATGTTTGCAAGGTCTGTAATGATTTGCCCTTTTTCATTCTCATATTGGTAATTTGTATTTTCTTATTTTTTCCTTGGTAACTTTAAAAATGTTATTACTTTTTCCAAAAAACCAACTTTTTGTTTTGTTGATTTTCTTTATTATGTTTTCCTTATATGTTATTAATTTCTTCTCTTATTTTCTTTGCCTTACTTTCTCTGGGTTTACTTTGTTGTCTTCCTCCCCGACCCGCCAGTTTCTAGCAATAGAATTTTCTCTTCCTTTAATACATGCACCCCGCAATATTATATGTAGTGCTTTTATTGTCATTCATTTCAAAATATTTTCTAATTTCTGTAAGGATTTCTTTGACTCATTTTTTTTTTGTTTTTTTAATCTGAAGCATGTTGTAAAATTTCTAATATGGGAGGATTTTCTAGATATCTTTCTGTTGCTGATTTCTGATTTAATTTCACTTAATCAGAACATACTTCGTATGATTTCAGTCCTTTGAAATTTGTTGAGATTAGTTTTATGATCCACCATATGGTCAAATTTGGTAAATGTTGCATACACACTTGCAAAGAATATGTATTCTGCACCTATTGAGTGTAGTATTCTGTGTCATTTAAACCAAGCTGGTTAATTGTTTAAATCTTCTGTATCCTTACTGATTTTTTTTGTCTTTTTCTTTAATCATTGCTGAGATAGGTGTGTTAAAGTGTCCAACTGTGATTCTGGATTTGTCTACTTCTTTAATTTCTGTCAACTTTTGTTTTAAAAATTCTGTGTTATTAGGTGTATACAAATGTAGGAGTGTTTATATCTTTCTATTGAATGGACTCTTTTATAATTATGAAACATCCCACTTTATCTCTTAATATTTCTTGCCTTAAAGTCTACTTTGTCAGATATTAATACAACTACACAAACTTTCTTTTGGTTAGTGTTTACATGATATATCTGTTTTCACATTACATTTTGCTTTTTTTTTTTTTTTTTTACTGACTTGCCATCTTGGGATACTTAGACTTCAGACCAGGTGGGGCTAATAAGCTGTTGCTAATAGAATGGGCATGAAATATGAAATATGAGTACCCCTTTTTTGACCCGTAGTTTTTATTTTTGGGGCACAGACCTTAGCAATAATTAAATTAAAGTTTTACCATAATCAAAGTTTATACAGTTGTTGGAAGTGGGGTACCAGACTGAGTACTAAACTAAATCCTCTGCATCTTTCTCCCTTTCTGTTCCTTAGTGGCTGGCACATGTGTATCAGTCCCAAGGAATGATGGGTGCTGCAGAGATGTGTTACAGAAAGAGTCTACAGGTGGCATCCCAACAGGGCAGTTGGAGTGGAAAGCTCTCAAGTCTGTTGAGACTGGCACTGCTTGCATTGCAAGTCTGCATGGTAAGATCATGTTTTACTTATGATCATGAAATACTAATTCTTTCATTTTCTTTAGCATGAAAGCTTTCACATAGCGATATTCTATTGAGTTCCTGTTCTTTCATTTTCTTCTGATATGGCCTGTTGATAGACTCATATTTTGAGCTCCTGATGGACATGACAGTAACATAAATCCATAGACTATAGGAGAACATCGTCAATGTTTGGGAAAAAATGAAGAACGAAGATTGCAATTTTAAAAATTGAATTACAGCAGAATATGTATTTTTGTTTGTTGGTGATTTGAGTTAGAATCAAACCTAACTACTCATCTGTGACAAAGATGCCAATATTTAACATTTTCGTCATGTCTCACTTCAATTTGACATTCTTTAAGAGGGATTTCTAGTAACTTATGACTTGACATCCTTTTTTCTGATACCAGTTTACATTTGTTAATCTGAAAGTCTTATGTGCTGGTAGGGAAAATTCTTCAAGATATATATTTATGTGGGGGTGATGGAAAACTGCAGAACAGTATGTATGACACAATCCTATTTCAGTGTATATGTGGTATATATTTTTATGAATATATGTGTTTAAATACACCATGTGTGTTTGTGTGTGTATGCACTTATAAGCACATAGAAAGATAATTATATGGAAATATATATAAGAAACTTAATGGCAGTTAGTTTGGAGAATGGGATTGGGGGTTTTAAAGGATGGTAGAGGAGAATTTTTCATTCGGTATATTTTGATAGTGTTTGAATTTTTTTGTCATGAGCATATTACTTTTATAATTAAAAGATAAACTGTCATTCTTTCTGTTCTACATGGTCAGAAGAGATTGTCCTAGACTTGTTTTTGCTCTAGTAATGCATGTGAATGTGATTTACTCACTTTAACTAGGAATTTTGACAAAGAAATATAAGAATTAGGAAAATTTGTCAGCTTTGTGCTATTACCGTGGAGCACATTAAGAGCTCCTTACATCAGGGCCATGTTTTGCTCACCCTTGCTTCCTTGCTTTACCACTCTGCCTTCTGCACAGGATTTGGTTTCTGAATGAATGGGCTAATAATAATGTGGCCAAAGTTGAGATGACTTTGGTGGAAAGAAATAGTGGAAGCTGTAATTGTAGATCAACCAAACATTTTGTTTTGTTTGTCACATTTATATTTAACAAAGGTCTTTATGGCCTTGGTAACTGGTGAGTTCTAGAAGACACACAGAGTACCTGTAACACATTCTTGAATATGTGAACTGAAGAAGTAGACACTCTTTTAGCCTAACTTATTATTTGTTAGTTTTAAATATTATTTGGTGGGTTTTTTTTTTAATGCTGGGAAATTAAATCTGACCTGGAATAAAAAAAATTAATAGTAGGTATAATGATAACAAATATATGTAGCCCTTAGTCTGTGCTAGGCACTGTTATAAGTGTTTACACATATTAACTTATTTAGTAGTCACAGTAACCCTATTTTACAAGTGAGGAAATTAACTTGCAATTTAGTAATACCCATGTCTACCTGCCCCCACCACTACTACTATCACCACAAAAGTATTTTCTCTAAGAGCCTGTGTTCTGGTTCTACCATTTACTGTCTGTGAAGCCTTCAGCTAATTAAACAGTTTAGAGTCGTTTTCCTTTTTTGTAATAGTGGAGATAATACCTACTTTGCCTTCTTATGGGATTGTTATGAATATCAAATGAAGTAACATTTATAAATGCCTTTTTAAACCTTAAAGCACTATCCAAGTCTAATTTGTTCTTGTTAAAAAATTTGACACCTAACAATTATTGTAAAGGAATAAAGATGCCATATTTCTATGGTAAATAGCTGGCAGTGTAGGGAAAATAATATATAAAAATTAGACTGTTTTATGAAAGACTACTGTTTCTGTGATAATATATGAGCTGGATATTAAACTGCAAGATTAGCTAAAATATTAGATGTAGGATTTCTAAGTGAGATATCAGATCAAGGTACAGATTTTTGAAGTGGCTGTAACACTAACCTAAAGGAAGCTGTAAAAGCAGCAGAAGAGTGGAGTTGGAGAAAGATTTGTGAAGAAATTTCTTTGTGGACAGCTGTTGCTTCCCCCTTGTTTCCCTGGAACATTTCCACAGATAGATACACACAAAAGTGAGGAAGGGGGGTACTACCAGAGAGAGGGAGGCTTTAATGTGTGTCCTGTGAGGTCTTGGAAACACATGTCTAGAAGCATATGGACAGGTATCAGACACATGCTCCAGAGGAAGTGGCTTTCAATCTAAGGTGTTAGAATAGAGAAAAGAGTTGCTAGTGTTTTGGAAAGTGACTGTGCTTCTGGGAGAGACTGGTCAACAGTAAATGAATTCCAAAGGTGAATAGATTCCTAGATGGGATTCTAGATGGGATTGGCAGCACTTTCAGAGTTTATCAGATCTAAAAATGAGTGATGCCAAGTGTGAGAGTGGGCTGGCACAGGAGTTATCTTAGATCCTGTCCAGTAGGGCCAGCTAGAAGGATGATAGGATCTCAGTAGAAAGGAAGCCAGAAGTTTCCATATTGTTAGAGGATGTGGAGAGAGTGAGTATGTAGAATAGAATACATTTGCCCAGGTTAGCACAACTGCAGATGAGCAGGGCTGGCTTCACAGGCATGTGTTCTGTGCATTTGCACAGGGCTCCACACTTGGCTTTTAATGCTCTGCAGTTGCTATCTCAAAATTCTTAGTAATTTTTAACAAAGGGCCCTACACTTTTAGTTTGCACTGGGCACTGTCGGTTATATAGCTGGGCATGCAGTTGAGAGACTGCCCATGAAGTTGGGAGTCTCTGATAAAACTGCAGGAGAAAAATAACTTTAAATATCTGTTAGGCCTGGAGAGCTTGACACCATCTTACAATGGTATCAGTCAAATACAAACTTCTGGTTTTTTAGTAGAGTCCTGAAATTGTAGTTAGCAAGAAGAGATGTGAGGATGAACAAGCCATTTGCTACTGCCTGTAACTATATCCTGGCCTGAGAGCTGAGAGCTGAGGGGATGAGAGTGTGTGTGTGTGTGTGTGATATTATCTTTGAATGAAGATTACAGTGTTAAAAAGAAGAGAACATTCTAATTGAGACTGTTTGTGAAAGAATGTAAGAATAGTGGATATGAGAATCATAGGGCCTACTGTAGTTCACACTGAAGGACAGAAAAATGTCTCCTTCAGATATTAAAGAGATAGTGGGAGGCAGAAATAAAAAGTGCATTTCGATCACATTGTTCAGTATGCCAGTTATATGTAGTAACTTTTTCTTATATAATCATCTTTGGGCTAACTTTACAGAGTGCTTTATGTGATTTCTTGGAATTTAGAGAGTGCACTATTAACAGCATTCAGTGAGAGTTTTGTTACTGGTTTTTAAAAAGATGTTAGGAATAATTTTATTAGAATGTGCCTTGCCTTGTATTATTTATCAGATGTACCCAAGGCCTCACTGCTGCTGTGTTTATAGAAGATGCATCATAATTCTTTATTTTCAAATTCATGATCTTTATAGCTGCTTCTTACTTGATTACATAAATTACTTTTGCCTGTACTACATTCAGAGATTATTGCTCTAACATTTTTTTTTTTTTTATAATCTGGTATTTGGAATGGAGTGCATATTGACTTATTACATTGACTTTATTAAAATGTGTACTCTAGACACATGTAATCATGAAAACTTGGTTACAATTTGAGGTTTTCAGTGAAAAAAAATATATATGTACACACACACACACACATTTTTTTTTTTTTTTGGTGGCTGGCTGGTATGGGGATCCAAACTCTTGACCTTGGTGTTGTAACACCACACTCTGACCAACTGAGCTAACCAGCCAGCCTAGTAAAAGATTTTTTTTTTTTTCCTTTTTGTCTTTTTTCGTGACCTGCAACGGATTGCAACCCTCAGTGTCGTGCCCGTACCGGACCGGGACCAGCAACGGGATTGCAGCTCTCGGTGTTGCTCCTGCACCTCGCTCAGCCAGTGAGCGGCCGGTCTGTATGTGGGATCCGAACCCTCAGCGGGAGCGCTGCCGCGCTTCCCAAGCAGCGCACTGTAGCAGTGCGCCACCGGGCCGGCCCCTAGTAAAAGATTTTTAATGCATCTTTTCTCCTTACGTGATTTAGTAGTGTTCCAACATTTTATTTTTAGTTACTATGTCTTAGGAAATATTTGTCTATGTTATTTTTGAGTCAGTACATATTATAAGACTAAAGTTTGTAACCCACGTCATATATAGATACATTAACATTATTTCCCATAAAGTGAAATTTAAAAAAAAGTTTTCAGTACTGATCACTTTGAATTTATCTCTGATCTGATCTGCACTTTCTTTTTATATTGGGATTTTATTAAGATACATTATTTCAGCCTTTTCTCTCTCCTTAGATAATTTTTGAAATGTAGAACTTTATGTTTATCACTACCAGTTAAATAATTAATTATATTAAATGGAGTTTTGTATATTTGGTAAACCAAAGGCTTACTAACTCATGGATTTTATTCACCAATGTAGTACAATACTACAGTTTCTTTCGACAAATATTTTAGTGTTTTTTAAATGATGTCTCCTCTTTGAAACCTTTCTTTATCCTGGTCTACCCTATTTTGTAACCTGTTAAGGGCAGAGATCAGACCTTAAATCATTTTTTAGTATTATGCTCCTTGTATCATTTATTTGGTGACTTGGACAAGTAGGTGCTCAATAAATTAGAATTGAATCGCATACTTTTAAAGTAAATGTGTTAAAAGCTTTGAGTTAATATTCATCGTATGTTTTTACAGGCTAATATTTCCAATGATCACTGGTCATCCTTGGTTCAAGAGGCTACAACTGAGGCCTTGAAACTTTGCTTTTGTCCACTGGCTGTTCTTTTACAAGCTTTGTTACAATTCAACCGCAAAATGGGGGCAAGGTATGAAGAATCTTTATTCATTTTTTTCTTGGAAATGCTTTTACACTTTAAATCGTTCTAGGAAAAAAAATCAAAGAAAGATTTAGAATTAGTTTAACAAACTAGTTAGACAAAACTTTGGAGTTATTCATATACCTGTATCCACTTTGGAAGGGCTGGTTCTAGTAATCCAGTAAGGAAGAAAATAAAGTCTTTATGTTTGTTTAATCAGGTATCACATCTGCAAAAGGATGGGAAAGAAAATGTATGTGTGAGACTAGTATATGAAAAATTTTATGTTAATTTACGTGCTTTAGACTAAATGTGAGTATCTTTTTCCCAGAGAGACACGGCGTCTTTTGGAGAGAGTGGTATATCAGCCTGGGTATCCCAAATCTATTGTGTCAACCGCACGTTGGTACCTGCTGAGACACTTATATGCTAAAAATGACTATGAGCTCATTGACGTAAGGCATTGATTTTATTTCAAATATTTCTTCTTGGACCTAAGGATTTTAGAGTTATTTTTCAAAATTACTGTACTTTATGATTGAATTTTTAAAAAATGAGCATGTAATTCTTTGTCTACTGTTGTATCTATTGAAAGTAGAGAAACATTTGTGCACATGACTTGAAGGTTAAATATATAGTTTGTATCTTATCATGGGTTAGTTATGAAGTCCCCATTTCAATTACTGGAATATCAAAAGCTGGGACTCTGGCATAAATAACAGGACTGTTAAAGTTGTGATTAAAAATAGTTTAATGTTGATTCAACCTACACACACACACACACACACACACACACACACACACACACACACACACACAAGATAACTTTATATGAGGAAGCTATACTAATTTTTTTTTTATCATAACCATTTCAAAGCCAGAATCCAAACTAATAGCAAATACCAAGGTCTAGGGCATTGGTTTAAAAATCTTGTGTTCATGATCAGTTGTGAAGTATGTTGTAGGTAATCGGATAATAACCATAGGTGGCAAATAGTTTTACTTTTTTATTTTGTGTAATAAAATATAGCAGATTAATGGATGTCATATACCTCTCTATCAATGCATTCTTATAAGTTTTCTTAAGTCAAAGAGAAGGGTAGAATTATAGGGAGTTTGCCTAATTGCCAATCTTTTATCTGTGAACCAGTGGGAATATCTCAAGTTTAAAAGTCATACATCAAATGGATTAAGGTTTATAAAAAGTTGAGAACTGCTGACCTAAAGCCAAGATCTGGTGAAATTTGTAGCAGTGCAGACGTATGACCATCTAACCTTGACCTGAGGCAGTACCGAGAGTCAACTTTTCTTTTTCCTTTTTTTTTTTTTGGCCAGAAAGGAATAACTTGACTGCACTCTCTTTCTTTTATATTATTTATTATGTCTTTAGAAATGGATGGATAAATGTTTTAGCAAGAGGCAAGTCTAGGGCCGGCCCGGTGGCACACTGCTACAGTGCGCCGCTTGGGAGCGCAGTGGCGCTCCCGCCGAGGGTTCGGATCCCACATACAGACCGGTTCCCGCTCACTGGCTGAGCGAGGAGCGGGTGCAACACCGAGGGTTGCGATCCCGTTGCCGGTCCTGGTCCGGTACGGGCGCGACACTGAGGGTTGCGATCTGTTGCCGGACACGAAAAAAGACAAAAAAAAAAAAAAGAAAAGAAAAAGAAAAAAAGAGGCAAGTCTAAATAAAAAATAGCCAAGCAGTAAACCAAAGGAGAGAAAAAGCATGAGTTGGTACTAGTCTTGTACTGAGACACTCATATGCCAAAGAGGACTATGAGTTCATTGTTGTAAGGATTGTTTTTGCCTGCCCATGTTTCTCTTTTCCTGAGCTAGGAAGGTGATACAGTCTTTACAGTCTGTTTAACCCAGAGTTTCTCAACCTCAGCACTATTGAGATTTTGGACTGGGTAATTCTTCTTTGAGGGTGGGTTGGGGATGGGTGCTGAGCCTCCTGTGCAAGGTTGGATGTTTAGCAGCATGCCTGGTCTCTAACCACGAGATGCCAGTAGCACTGTCCTTCTCTCCACTGCTCTACTTGTTTGTTTATTTATTGTTTTGGTGGCTGGCTGGTACCAGGGACTGAACCTTTGAGCTTGGAGTTACAAGGCTGTGCTCTAACCAACTAAGCTAACTGGCTAACCCTCCACCGCCCTACTTGTGACAACCAAAAATATCTTCCAGACATTGTCAGATTATCCCTGGGGTGTAATTGCTCCTTGCTGAGGACCACCAATTTAAGCTAGAGATAATACATTATGTTAATGTGCTATATAGAGTAAGAAAAAGGATAGACAAAGGTACTAGGTGCAAGTTTTATTTTTTTTATGGCTATTGCAGTGGAGGCAAACAGGTAGATAGGATAGGGATAGATAGAGTGGGCAGAATCTGATGGGATGTTCATATTGTCTATGAAAAAATAATTTTACTACTTGTCTTTTCTACAAAGTGCATGTGACATTTATAACTCTACTTCTCAAGGGATGGGTCTGGTATCTAAATATGTAAACATATATATCTAAAATTCTTTTGAAAAAGGTAGAGTATATAAAAATGTAGTGGGTTCAGATTCTCATAACTTTAGCCAAAAATTAAAAAAAAAAAAATTTAATGAAAAGCTGTTTCAGTACCTGCAGCATTTGAAATATTGTTAGCCTTTTGTTGAAACATACAATATTAAAGAAATATTAAAGAAAACAATGCTTGGAGAAAGGCATTGTAATCAACATGTTGCAAACCAAAAAGGTGGAATTTGTATGCATGTTGGGAGACAGTTCACTGTGGATCTCTTGCGTTTCTAAACATCCTGTGAGCATGGGGCCTCATTATCCATTGTAGCAGTCTGTCCTTTCAAGGATGTTTGTGTAGTGAACAGCCTTTGGAGGCAGAGCAAAGGGATAGGCCCATTATAAAAGATTTGAATCTCCTAGGCTCAGAGTTCCTGTTTTGTAATGTAACTCACTGTGTATGTGGGAAACTAGTTTTGTCTCTACACATCACCCTAGTAGGCTGACAGGGCAAGGAGAATGGATGCAAATATGTTTAGGCTCATGCATCTCCTAGGCTCAGAGTTCCTGTTTTGTAATGTAACTCACTGTGTATGTGGGAAACTAGTTGTGTCTCTACACATCACCCTAGTAGGCTGACAGGGCAAGGAGAATGGATGCAAATATGTTTAGGCTCATGTGACTTGCTATACCGTTGAGTAATGAAGACCTGAGTCTTGACCTAAGAGTGTGTATTTTCTGTTAGCATCCATGAAACTGTAGCAGACTAACTAGTTAGCTTGCAAATAGAGCAAAATCACAGACCCTTCACAGTGTTTGACAATAAATACTCAAAAAATATTTCAGTAGTTGAATAATCAGCTGAAATGGAATGTTCAAGTTTGTAGAATTGGTGACAATCATAGAAAGATTCTTGATAAAGCCTAGAACTTAGAGCCAGATCTCAAGCTGTGGTTTTAAAGGGGAACAATGTCATTTGGACGGTTCTATGCATGACATGGTCTTTTGAGGTGAGGGTTTAGAGGTGACAGTATTATAAACAAAGCTGCCAAACAAAATCTTTAATTTTTTACAGTGCTGACATTTGTAACAATCAAAATGTTGTCGTATACTAATTTGAATGAATTGTGCTTCTCTCTGATGTTAGCTTTGGTTGAACAATTTATTTCAGCAAGAAATGACTGAAAAGCTGCATGTTGTCACTTTTTCTTGTGTGGTTTGATGTTGCCTTATTAAGACAATTGCTGCACTTTATAATACTCGGCTTCTATGAGTCTAGATGTAAATATTGTTAATAAACAAAATACTAACATTCCTGTATATGGTTTCCCGTAGGTGCTAGTAAACAATGCCGAAACTCATGGTGATACAAGAGCATTGGAACTGAATCAGAAATTGTCCTCACAATAACACTGGATTACTTAATAGTAAGGAAGCAAAGAAAAAACTGTAAGAATGAAGCAATGAATGAAGACTTTTTCCCCAAAGGAACATTTTAAAAAACTATAGATAAATCATCCGTTCCTTTTCTTTTTTAAATCTAAAGAAGTTGAAGTTCTTAAGTTAGGGATTTAATCTGATTTTAATCTGAAAAAAATCTTGGATTTGAGAAATTCATAATGAAAGGAAAACCGTGATTCTCTTAGTTGCTCAACAGTTATTGTGAACCATTATTTTCTGCATCTAGCATGGTGCATAGGAATTTTTTTTGTAAGTAATCCCTTACAATAAAGCCCTAATAGCCATTTTCTAAATAATGTGCAAAAGAAGATTAGCATAACACAGAATTTTCATTTATTAAAAACAAATTCAAAGATTTAATTCCACCTATGAATTCTGCAGTTCAGTAGACCAACTCATCATAAAATCTAAATAACCTTACAACTTATTTTGCTAATGGTTCATCTCAGATTCTTTTGAAGAATTAATGTTGTGAATTATATAAACATATCCTTTATGTCTAAGACTCACCAATAAATGTTGATAAATAAGTGTGGTGAGACTGCTAATGGATATGTTTATATAATTCACAACGCTCAGGTGTGTGGCTGCATTTAAAAACACGGAAAATTTTGGAAAATAATGTCTGTATAATTGATCATGTAATTCCTTCAATTATGATGAAAAGACTTGAACTTTCTGAAATAAAAAAGTGTTCTTATTTTCTTTATGGTATCAATATCATAATTGATAACATAATATAATTGATGACATAATTTCTGAATATCAAATTTTAAAACTTGAAAGTAGAATTATCTATTTTTTTTCCAAAAGCCCTTTACATATTTGAAGAAACTGTGTTGCTTACTTTGGATTTGATGTTTTAAAAATATTTCCAGACATTTACATATATTGTTTATTGTACAGAGGTGTGTGGTTATGTAATTTATGTATGTGTTTTTTCTAAGCTAGCAGCTTCACAGTGTTACTTTGTGAGATAATATAAATTGATAGTATTCTGTAATTAAATTGTAGTTCAGAGGTTAATCTATTAGTCTGAACTGTAATCTGGTGTTTCCCAGACTTGGCTGAACATTGTTATCATTCAGACCTATGCAATCAGAATATTTAAGGATGGAGGCCTCTGCATTTTAAAGGCATGCCTAAGAAATTATAATGTTCATTCATATTTGTGAACCACTGGATTAAACCCAGTGATGATTCTTCCCTTTATTTCTCTCTTTAGCAAGGTTAAGCACGTGCTATTCTCTGCCCATTTCTTCCTAATCCCTTTAAGTGTCAAACTGATTCAGTGCTTTTAATAGCCTGGTCCACAGACTTAGCCAGAGATGCACTGCAAAAGGCAATCTGTGCAAGCCTGGTGCCCATGCCCTCCTGTTTCCTCAGGAAAACACTGCAGCCTTTTCCTTGAGAATGGACTGGCTCCATGTGCCTAAATGCTTTGGATTCAGTTCTCGTCCTCCATCTGCTTCCTGGGGTGTCACTTGCTTCACAAGGTTACTTCCACCTAGACTGTGGGCTTGGTTAGCTTTTGCTCCAGGCCCATTATTGAGGGGGAACCTTTTCACTCTCTTGCCAAATTCTGACTTTGAGGGACCTCAGGCCCAGGTTTCCTAGAAAGGAGGGTTGGAAAAACACCTTGGTTAATACCATCTCAGGTTATTCTTTTTTGCATTTATGTGCACATATCCTTTCTTAATGTTGGTATGTTGCCTTCTCTTCAAATTGCTGCCCAGTTGCTGTGAGCCTCAAATCATTCCTAATCATATAATTTTTATAAAGCTTACTTTGTGCCTGACCTAGGGTAAGTGTTCTTAACATTGTCATTTAATATTAGTTAATAAAGGAGAGTGGTGCTAAACAGCATGCTCAGAAAAGAGAAAAGCAAAGAAAATTTGAAATGAGTCAAGTGTTATCAGATTCTAGAAACTAAAAAAGTGGCCAAAATTTCCCTTTGGAGTTTATATATAAGTTTAATTAGAGGAATTAGATTAAAAAAATTATTTCCTGAAGTACTGATATTTAGTATTCATGCTAGTATTTCATTATTTTTGTTATATTTTGTTTGAAAATTATAGTGCATTTCTTGCTATTATCCATCTTTGAATATTATTGATTAATTGGATGTTTATAGATGAGTTTGGCATCTGATAATAATTTCTAATGGGAAAAACATATTTTAGTTTACAGGTAAACTTTTGAAACACAGTCTATTTGTTTGGGATCACATAGTATTTCTTGAAGTGTCCCTTCTATCATTTCAGAAAAAAGAAACCCTAACTTAAAATGCTATGCTCTTTTTTCGCTTTACAAAATGAGCTATTGACAAACTTCCTTAAATTAGGGATTCTACTATACAAAATAGGATTGGATAGAAATACTCAGGTTGTACAGTAAGGAAATTAAAAGACGTGGTTATTTAAAACAGTATGAAATAGGAAAATATTTCCTGGAATGTAACATATGAATATGAAAGGATGCATATTTGGCTGCTGTGTAGAAAGTTTCATATCTGTTTTGGGGAAATTGTATAGGAACACAGAAATGAAGCATGTTTTGGAGTATGATTCAGTGCAGCTTGCAGATCCATTTTACTTTTTGCACATTAAAAAATGTGGAAACTTTGTTTTGGCAAAGTTGACCCTTGTCTCTCTGCAGGTCTTCCTTTTTCCCACTTTAGTTCCTAGTAGACAGGAAACTTCTCAGACTTCCATGCTGCTTGTTATAAGTAATAACACTCAGCTGATGGTTATAAGTGGACCCTCAATTTGCAGGAGAGATTTTTTTGTTTTGCTTTTGTTTCTGTGTTTTAAAAAGATACATTTGTGTATTATATACAGGTACAATAACTTTTCTGTATTTATATATTTCCATATATATTTTTAGGCTTTTTATATAGATGAAATAAAAAGTCAAAAGATTCCATCATTTAGAGTATGTACCCGGTTTTTGGTTTAGAAAATATAGTCGCTTAATGGGGCCGGCCCGGTGGCGCACTGCTATAGGGCACCGCTTGGGAAGCGCAGCAGCGCTCCCGCCGAGGGTTCGGATCCCACATACAGACCGGTTCCCGCTCACTGGCTGAGCGAGGCGCAGGAGCAACACTGAGGGTTGCGATCCCGTTGCTGGTCCCGGTCCGGTACGGGGGCAACACTTGAGGGTTGCGATCCGTTGCCAGACACAATTAAAATCTGAGTATCCCCTGAAACAAGGGTTGAGTTTCATGTTACATCACTGAACTATTGAAATAATTTTCATGTCACATCTCTACTGAATCAGTTAAAAAGTTCATTTGAGCTTCATTCTTCACTACATACTTTCCCTGTATGTTACACTTAGTATAAAAGCCCATTTAAATTATATTAATTTTCCTGGAGGTAAGGTGGGTAATGACAAAAATGTTATTCTGGCTATTTCTGCTTGTGGTAGACATAATAATGGCCCCCAAAGATTTTCATGCCCTAACCCTGGAACTTGTGAGGACATGGCAAAAGGGACTTTGTAGGTGTTGCTGAGGGTATAGACCTTGAGATGGGGAGAGTATCCTGGATTTCCAGGTGGATCCAATTTAATCACAAGATTCCTTAAAAGTGAGAACGTATCAGAGAGATGTGACAACAGAAGTTCAGAGAGGTTTGACATTGCTGGCTGTAGTGGATTGAATTATGTCCCCTGCAAGCTCCCTGAAGCTTGAATTGTGTCCCCCAAGTTTTATGTATTAGGAACTTAGCCCCCACTGTGACTGTAAAGAGGTTGGGAAATCCTATTATGGTAATTGTAAGGTGGGGCTTTGAAGAGGTGATTGGATTGTAGGACTGTGTAGTAGTGAATGGATTAAAAATGGTGGTCAGAGGTGTGGTTCTGAGGGCTTTCAAAGAAGAGGAGAGTCTGTCTTGCTCTCTCTGCTCTCTCTGCTTCCACCATCTTGCAATGTGAGACTCCTAGGTCACTCTCGCCTCCACCAGATGGACTTTGGACTTCCCAGCCTCAGAAACTATAAGCAATAAATTTCATTTTTCTTTAAAAATCACCCAGTTCCGTGTATTCTGTTACAGCAACACAAAATGGACTAATACGCTGGATTTGGAGATGGAGGAAGGGAGCCCCCAGTCGTGGAATGAGGTTGCTTCTAGAAATAAAAAAGCAAGGAAATATTCTCCTGTGGAGGCCCCAGAAAGGAGTGCAGCCCTGTTAATGTCTTTTTTTTTTTTTTTTTTCCTTTTTGTCTTTTTTACTGCCCGGTAATGGGATCGCAACCCTGCCTTGTGAACACAGTGCATTACTTTTTTTGGAGAACCATCTGCTAGTTGGATACTAATGGCGTTTACCTGGTTGTAATGACTATTGGGTTTGCTTTGATGGCCAGGACTTATGGAGGAAATATGCTTCAGTGGACATTGACATCAGCATCTTGTGCAACTCCAGTCAATGTCCATAATGGTTTTTCAGCTGTTAGCCTCCCTCCCCAGAGACAATAGAAAGAAGTGCTTTTAAAACAGAGAAGTAGTTCCTCCTTATAATTGTGTTCCAGGAGAAATCTATATTTTGCACTTTCCTCTACACTTATCCATTGCTAGAATTATTGCAAGCCAATTTATTTCTTCTTGTACATAGGAAAAGGACTTTTTATAACTCAATTATTTTTAGATAACTGATTTAAATCAGTTGTGTGAAAGAATACCATGGAAGTTGTCTTTCTTTCCCCATAAAAATTGAAAGCTCTGTTTATTTTTATTAATCAATACTGTTTATCAAGTACAGTGCCCGCTATGTATCAGACACTATAATATTAGATGGTCCACATATATTTAGAGAAACAGTGTAGCATAACATCCCATAAAAATTGAAAGCTCTGTTTATTTTTATTAATCAATACTGTTTATCAAGTACAGTGCCTGCTATGTATCAGACACTATAATATTAGATGGTCCACATATATTTAGAGAAACAGTGTAGCATAACATTTAAAAGCAAGTTCTCTGGACTGGTGAGTCCAAATCCTAACTATCAATTACTAGGAGTGTGACCTTACATAAATTACCTGACTTCTCTGTGCCTCAGTAATAGGTAGATTAAATGAGTTAATCTACGGAAAGGGCTTTGAGCAGTCTCTCATGTCTGGTTATGATAAGCTCAATAAATAGCTCAGTAAATGTTCTTTCAATAACCTACAAGGCTTAACCTGAGGAAATTGAGGAGATTGAGGAAATTGGGACTCCAAAGTTAAGGAGCAGATCCAAAGTCACACATATAGTGACTGGTGGTACTGGGTTTAAACTCAGGTTTGTTAGACTTCAGGACCCCTAAACACTTCTCAGCATAAAAGTTTGGGTTATTTTTATTTTTTTAGTTTGTATCTTTTGAAACTATAAAAGAGGGTCTGGTTTGTGATGTACTGACGAGTACACCAATCATTTCTGTTTCACAACATTTATCACGTGTAAATATCTTATGAAAATTAAGTAGCAGAACTCTACCAAGAAACAAGGTAAATTTAGTCTATGGAGTCAGAAAATTCCATGACTGTGTATTAAGGGAAAGATCTGAAATAATATTAAACCCTTCCCACAAATGTGTGTGACTCAAATCTCCTGGAGGGGGAAATGCCTAGCTGGGTAGAGACCAAAACAGCCTAATATTTTTCCTGGCAACAATCCTGCCTCTCTGATTGGAGGGTTCGTTACCCTCTCTGCATCTGAGGAGGCACAGTACTTTTATTTTATGGCCTGGAAGGGGAATATCAAAAGCATTTATAACCATTCTCTAGTGAGTTGTGTAATACACCCAAGTTTCAAGTTTACATTGTAGGACAGGGTCCTCTTTGGTATGTGGAGATCTAATGGTAGGTCTTAAAGCAGTACTGGTAGGACTCCAAGTGGGTCACTGACACCATCTGCCAGCAAGGACTCTCAGGAAAAACTGAAACCTTTAAACGATGACACTCCCTCTCCCACCTCACGGCTAACGGGCCTCCCTGTACTCACCTACGACTCTTCTGCCTGTTTCTTCAGTGTTAGGTGTCCTCAGGGTTCTTCCCTGGTCTCTCTTTCTCACTGTAGTCTTCCTGCCCCGTCCAACACCAGGCACTCTCTTTCTCACCCAAAACTCTGATAACGACTTCTCTGCTGGTGACTTTCAAAGCTAAATCCCCAGTGCGCACATCTTTCT